ACCTCGAGACGCCGTGCCGCGCCGACTACCCCTCCCCAAATCGCCGATCCTCGCTTAACAACCCGCTTATGGGATGTCGCAGCCGATTGATCGTGGTTAGCTACTCCACGACCGCCCGTTTGAGAGGAAATCCAGACCGAAGAGATGTGTTGTGAGCAGCGTACAACTACCGCCGGCACACTGCTGCACTCAATCTCCAGGACTCCTTCATCCCTCCGTACGGGTCTCCGCGCACGGCACAAACACGCGGGAGGTCATTACTATCCACCATCAGTCTTGTTTGATGATGAACACGCAAGGACATGACCTCTCCATCCCTGCATTGGACGCACGGCAGTTTTAGTTACGTCTATTTCTTAAGGAACTAGACCAATAACAAGGCGGCAACCTCGTGAAGGCTAGTCTACCGCACTTGCCTTGAGGATCTACACGACTTCTGCGCTCTCCCTCAAGACCACGCCCCCCCACCCCCTCTGAAGGAGGAAGTAGGGTAGGCCTGTATCTGTACTTCTGACATTATACTCTAGAAGCAGAAACACAGGCCCGCCTCTTGTCTCTGTATATATATACCTATATAATCTGTGCCAATGTGGGTAGCTATATTACTTTGTATCTAATTGTCCACGAAAATATTTGATTTGTTAATGTCACTAGTCGGTTGATTTTCAACCACGAACCACTAAGAATTTTGTGTTACTAAACAAACGGATAAAGGGACGTTCAGTAGTTTCCAGGAAGGGTCAGAGTAAGCGTATAATCAAAATATGCTTATGTGGTGCAAGTTCTTCTTGATAATTTTGTAGTATTATTATGCTGGAGTGTTAAATGGATGATTTGTAAATTTACTTATTTAAAGAAACAACGTGTAAATAACTTATTGTAAGTAGGTACCTATTTTTATACTTAGGTATAAAATATTAGGTACCTATCTGTTCTTTCTATGACCATTCTATTCTTTTCAATCCCTTCCTTTCTCTCCGAATTTCCTTAGTTAATTCAGTTCCAGCATTATTGTTTCTTAATAATTTAAAATATGTTTCTATTTTAATTTGATTTCTACTTTTATTATTATTAATAAAAGTAGAAATCATGTAGTAAAAACGTAGAAAGTTGTAATTTTTCTCAGTTTATTTACTTTATATAAAATACATATCTATACATATTTCTAAGGTCAAATATATTATACTTATTCAACTATCTATCTTTCATCTGCTATCGTTATCCATTTTACAGCTTTCCTGATCCTTATCTTAAACGTCGTTCAAAATTCTCTTTCAAAAATGTACTTTCTCAAACTTTGTGGCGAATGCACTCTGTACCGCTCCATATGAACAGAAATAAACTCAAGATCAAGAAAAGTAACACATAGGGTACAGCCTGTAGTCCATTTAAAAAAAATATATTGTGGTGAATTTTTAAAAAATATACATAAATATCTGTCATGCCTATCTTCCATTAGGGTAGGCAGAAACAATGAAACGCCAAATGCTTCGATTCAATCAAACCTAGTTCGCTTCTTACAAATTCATCAATCATTACCTCATTCTAAATTTATCAATAATAATCTTTTTGTACACGCTTGCCAGTTACGGGTACTTTTAATTTGGCCCTTCTTCAGCATGTCGCCTATTTGGTCGATATATGTCCGTCTAGGGCGGTACCTACCGACATCTCCATTCATTCTTACTCAGTAAATCTCTATCGTATTTCTCCTTTCATCCATCCTCTCCAAAGGCTAAATTAACGCAACATTCCCTTTTCGATTTTTGTCATTACGTTATCTTTTAGGCCACACTTCTCTCTAATCACAGTTTTTCGCTCTATCTTCTAATGTAATACCACACATAATTCTCAAAGCTCTCATCTCTATGGCATTTATTTTTCATGCTTTTAAAAATATTATTTACATAAATTACGAGAAACGTAGGTACCTGCCTACCTGCATTTGTAGCGATCGGTTATAGGTAACGGTCACGAAGATGTTTAAAACTGAAACATTTCTGTAGAGAGCATTGAGCTCGGTCGTTGTTTGAGGTTTCCTTTACCAATTAGCACTCCGGCCGGCAGACCGTAACTGGGTGAGGCGGCCCGATGTGTTGGAATGCTGCCTAGCTCGCACGGGTACAACTCGGGAGACTTGCATTATTATAAGTATGTTTATGAACTGTTGGTAAAATAAAGATAAATTTTATTAAACATAACCTAATATTACATATAAAAATTTTAATTTTAATACAAGTCCGTGTAAGCGAGCTAATAATTAATACACAGGAAATCACGATTTATATACTTAATGTCTTTAGCATTTTCAAATCATTAAATTGTCAAGATAATGGTTTATAAGAGAGGGGAAATAACGCTTTTATTTACGTAAAACTATAATAATTTACCTGGATTACCTTGATGTTTTGATGATTGCAATTTGGTTAATTAATTTCTGTCTCTAATAGGGGAAAGAAGGACAAGACGGAGTGGCGGGCAAGAAGGGGAAGCAGCTTTATACGTCGATACAACTGATCAATCAGAATCCCGCTGGCGTGTGATGATGCACCGTCATGATGCCAATCAGTTTGCGTAGTGATTGGCTAGCGACACCGCGTCATTTATTATATAACTGAAAAAACAGGTTTTTGTCATATTCTTTGTAATTTTTGTGTTTTGTCTGATACATGATTGTTGCTAAATGTCACCAGCACAATATACATATGTATAGTTATTCATATGCGTTAACAATCACGCCAACGGGTCTCTTCCTATGTTAAGAGGAAATTAGCTTTTTTTAGCCTCGCTGTCCAGGCAGCTTATAATAGTTTTATTTTGAGTTTTCCTACTAATTATGTATTTTGATAGCTTTAGCAGCCTCTTACAATATCCTGGAGTAAAATATAATGACAACAGGTTTTTATTATTCTTACATTATCGCCACACGACATTCTCTTTATCCCATTTAGATATGTGCCTACTTATTACTTGTATGAGGATGAAGACCTCAATTATCTAAAGATTTTAGACAATATTATAGGTATCAATATCTTTGTGTCCTTATCATATTTATTCGGGGTTGGTGTAATGTGATTTTGGGAATGCATTTGTTGTTGATATCCGTCACCTATAGGTAGATATAGTATCTATTATATTATTTGTGCCTACAGTATAGAGGAAAGTATGGAAGAAAAATGAAGAAGTAAGTAAAGGAAGTTGGTAAAAAAAGAATGAAAGATCAATAGAGAACAGTAAAAGGGGGACACTGCAGTTGCGGAGGGGATACTGGTCAGAAAATGCAGTGACTCGTGAGGCAGAAGTCACACCCATTTATGAATATATGAACCTTTGTAGGTATATGTTGTTTATATATTTATTAATTTATATTTATACTGTAGGTTTATTATTGTATTATTATATACAATTACTTACTATTTTTTATCTTTAGCTATACAGTTTTTATCCTCGTACATTTTATAGTTTTCTTTCAGCTTTTCAAAGCTGGACTGTAAGAGATTCCTCTATGGGTTAAGTAAACTATTGTACTTATATTAGATCTTTTTATGTGTGCAATGTAAATTATGTACTATAAAGATTTTACAATTACAATACAATACTCTTGTGCCCACATACAGAATTTTTTTTAAAAACAATAAAATATCATTTTTTTCTATAACTAGTTAACTATTATTTCTTTAATAATTAAAATTGTCTAATAGCTTAAAATATTAATAGTTTTTTTTTATATACAATGTGAATAGTTGAGTACTTACTTTAGGTACTTATTACGATAATCATTGTTTATTTTGAGACTGACATCTAACTAGAATCCTAATTTATAAGTATATAATATTATATTAAAATTGTTAAAAATATTATCCCTGTAAGTAGGTATTTATATATGCTTTCTGATAATATCTACATACTTACTATATTAATATTATAGGTATATATTTTTATAGAAGTAAGTATTATTAATAATAATTTCTTTTTCAGATATCTTTCCGTCCCACGATCTTCGTTTAAATTAATCTTTGAAATCACCTAACCGATATTAGCAAAAATTTGTAAATGTACCTAGGTATGTGTATAGAACAAACATCTCCAAATTAAGAAATATATGTTTTGATCGTAACAAGAAATTATAGTCCGGTAAGTGGCAGCAGAGAGCAAAACAGCGCCTGTCTAGTCAACTAGTTAATTAAGGATATAAAATAAATAAATGCGTTCATTATTTAGTTCAATATATTTAATTATTATACAATTATATGTGTAGTTGTATCGATGTAGTAATTATTTGTTATTAAAAAATAAATATACAGTAGTGATATATTAATGCATAAGTAAAAAAAATAATAGGTACCTTCCTACCCAAATAAGTAGGTGTGCCTATTTATCAATGATTATGCTTTTTGGTCTTCATAGGGGATTCCAATTGATATCAAGGCATTTACAAATTATTTATTGTTCGTAGCTATAGAAGGCGATCACAACTTTCTCCTTGTGATTTACAGCGTTTATCCAATTTCTATTTATCTACTAATACAAAAAATACAAATGTTTTTTAGGTACCAATAGAATGTAATACGATACTTTGTATATTCTTCTGCATATTTTTAGTAAAATTGATAACTTATTCCTTAAAATAAAGAAAGTAATTTTGTATTAAGATTGATGGAAATATTGTGGAGACTATTTACATGAGTAACCGCCTCAAAGCTGCGCAGGATTGTCTCTACAATGACCAAAGCGCGCCACCAATCGTTTTGTTTGTCAATATACAGAGGCGGAGTTTCGTTCACTTTACGTGATCACGGAGCGTAATTTAATATTAACTCTAACCAGTTAACATAAAGGCTAAATTACTATGAGAATACCTCTGTGCCACTCATGGTCTGATGTATAAATATCTCTTCTAAGGTACTGAACATAGGTTAGGTATTTGATTGATGCCTCCTACAGGTAGTGGGTATGTTATTTTGTGTACATGCTAATGAAGCGTAGTGTGGTCGAGTTTGCGGTAGTTGCTCTTACAGTTGGCACGCCATCACCGATTTAAATTGTGTATGTGACAATAAAATTTAATTTCAAGCACGTAATGCGGATAAAAATTATTTTAAAAATATGTAGTTGTCGGTCTTTAATTATGTGTTAAAAAAATTTATAACCATACTTACGTTTGGTGGTAGAAACAAATATTGTGCTGTGAACTAATATCTGAAAAACTATCTTTATAATATTTAATGTGTGCATAAATTGTGGTCGAAATTGAGGATAAAGCACGTGCCGAGGACAGGTAAGTTTACATAATGAGATTATGAGATCAAGTTACAATATCCGAATATGGATACCTACCTATTTTTTCTTAATTAGGTATAAATATAAGATCTATTTGAATATCTAATCCAGTTAAATTTGCCTATTTATTTTTAGCTTATATTTAAAACAATTTTTTTAAATATTGCGCATGCGCATCTTGAATGATTGAGAAGAAAGGGTTGCCAAAATTAGGCAGGTACCTAATACTTTAGTGTCTAGAAATGTCTAGCTCATAACTCAGTGATTTTGATGAGGGGTTTTAAGACCAATTCTGAATAAATATATAGGTAAGTACCTGCCAACTTTATTGTATATTATGTAAAATCTCAATTAGTCATTACATAATCTAAGTCATCGCAGCAGGAAGCTTCTATATTACAGCATTTCAGAGCCGGATGAAACCATAATAGAAGCTCTTAAGAATTACGCATAGGTACCTGTCTTAGAAGCCTTCCCTAGTACCTAGGTAATGTCTAGTTATTTAAATTATAAATTAATACAAATTTCCAATAGGTATATTAATAATAATTAATATATGTCTTTACCAATCTGAAAATTGACGTCACGAATATTACAGAGGTTTTTTGTGTGTGTTATTGCCACCGAGTTTTGAACCTTAGTATATAACTTGTTTTTATAAAATTGATCTTTTAGTAATAATTATACCAGAAGGAGGCTTTGTACAAAAGTCGTTTGCTTGGGTACCTCTATCCCATTTATGTTTTAACCGTAAAGCAGTTGTGCTTACATGGCTGTGTTTCGGTTTGAAGGGTGGGATATGGCGTAAATTTACAGGGTACAGAGGAATAACCTTGAGCCACAAACTAAAGTTTCATCCCAATCATCTGGACGAGTGGCGGTCTTCCACCGTGCGTTTTTCAAGGCACTTTCTTCCACGCACAACTATTCTTTGGAATCAACTTCCAGCAGAAGTATTTCCGAATCGATACGACAACATAACCTTCAAGAAAAGAGTATATTCCTTTTTAAAAGGCCGGCAGCACACCTACAATGCCGCTGGAGTTGTGGGTAATCATGGGCGGCGGTAGTCACTTACCATCAGGTGAGCCGTATGCTCGTTTGCCCCCTGTCTTGTAAAAAAAAGTCCTCAGGAATGACAACGCATGGGGGGTATCATGGGCGAAACAGTATGCTCTGTTATGTCCATGGTACTGCTCATGTCTATGGGCGACGGTGACTACTTTCCATCAGGTGGGCCGTCAGCTTGGTTGCCATTCTAAGTTGTATAAAAAAAAAATATAAAAAATGTCATTCAATAAGTATTCAATAATATAAACAGTATTTAATTGATTTTACCATATTTTAATAAATATTCTAAGAATTCTTAAAATGATACAACATAGATAAGATCAAAAATAGAGAGTTAATTTAGTATCGAGGTTTGTCCGGAAAGTACGTATAAAAGTTTTTTAAAAATTTTATTTTACAATTATTCAGGTAAATCAATTTTATCCCCTTCAAAGTACTCCCCCTGTGACATAATGCACTTGTGCCAACGCCGTTTCCACTGTGAGAAGGCTCCTTGAAAGTCCTCTGGTTGTAGGTTTCTCAGCTGCCCCGTCGTAGCTTTTTTTATCTCATTTATGTCCCCCAAATGCCGCCCCCGAAGTACCAATTTGATTTTTGGGAACAAGAAGAAGTCACACGGGGCCAAATCCGGCGAATAGGGGGGGGGGTGTTCGGTCACCGTAATGGAATTTTTACTCAAAAACTCACGGACAACAAGAGAGGTGTGGGCAGGGGCATTGTCGTGGTGAAGAATCCAACGCCCCTCTCGCGCCAATTCTGGACGAACTCGTGCCACACGAGCTTTGAGGCGTCTGAGCACATCGACGTAGAATTTTCCATCAACTGTCTGGCCTGGAGGGACGAATTCTTGATGGACAATCCCCCGAACATCGAAAAAAACAATCAACATTGTCTTGACATTTGAGCGGGATTTTCTTGATTTTTTTGTTCGTGGTTCCCCGGATGTCTTCCACTCTTTGCTTTGGGATTTTAATTCGACATCAAATTCGTAGAACCAAGACTCATCTCCAGTGATGACTCGGTTCAAAAAGTCACCATTCTCTTCGGCTTCCAACCAGTCCTCACAGCAAGCAACTCTTCGTGATTTTTGATCCGGGGACAAAAGCTTGGGAACGATCTTGGCGCAAATTTTTTTCATTTGAAGTTCGTTTCTTAGAATTTCGTGGACCACGGTTTTGCCCAAATTAAGCTCTTCAGCCACCTGTCTGACCGTTAAACGACGGTCCCCATTAACACAAGTTCGAATTCTTTCCACGTTTTCGTCGGAATGTGAAGTGGAAGGACGTCCTGAACGTGGGTCATCTTGAACGCTTTCTCGGCCCTCTCTGAATCTTTTTAGCCACTTGTGGACGGTTGGTTCCTTCACAGCATCATCCCCATAAACTGTTCTGAGATCGGCAAAAATTTCACGGCCATTCTTGCCGAGTTTCGAGAGAAACTTGATTACGACGCGCTGCTCTTCAACGGAAGCGGGCTCCATGCCGACGGGGTCTCGTTAAGAGGTAACTTCACAGATGGCGTGACAAGCCAGTTCGCACCGCACGGCGGTCAGACCAGAACTGAAGCATTGTTAGGGACATAAGGAAGGGGTACCTGGCCTCCCCACTCCTCTTTCTCGCATTCCAGAACACTTTTATACGAACTTTCCGGACAGACCTCGTAGACTGTTACGAATTTGGAGCAAACAGATGTACCTACGTGCGAGGTAATATTAACTCTAAGACTTATAATAGATAGAACAATGGATTTGGGAATTAATACATATATTATTTTTGTAGATTTAGAAAAGGCTTTCGATAGAGTAGATTGCAAGAAAATGGTAGAAGTATAGAGGAATTCGGGATTAGATATGAGGGATAGAAGACAATCTACGAAACATAAAAATATCAAGAAACTGTAACAAAAGTAGAAGAGGAGAAAGGAAAAGCAAAAATTTATTAAGGAGTAAGACAGGATTGTTCATTGTTACCACTCATATTAAACATATAGAAACAGCTATAAGAAAAATTACAGAACATACAGAAAAAGGTGTTTAGTTCAATATCAGCTCAGGCCCTGGAATGAGCTCCCTGCCGAGGGTTTTCCTAGAGACTATCGGCAACGCACACATGGCATCCATAGTTTTGCAAGAGTCCATAGGATGCAGTAAACGTTTACGACCAGACGGGCTGTATGCTTGTACCTACCTACCTACTGTCACCTACGTAGTATAAAATGAAGAAAAAAGAATTAAATTTATTAGATTTTCCGATGATATAGAATAAAAACAGACTCTCTCTCTCTTCAGTGGTACACTTTTGACAGAGTGGTCGTGGTTTTTATGATGATAGTGGATCATTCATGAGGCCCTCCTTCGCCACTAAAGTCCTCGCAATGCGTCTCCATCTACTTCTGCTCACAGACGAGTGTGAGCATTTCACAATAGACTGCTGTGTGACCGTTTTGATGAGGTCAGTCCATCGTGTTGGTGATTTATCCCGGGAACATTTGCCTTGTATCGACCCTTGGACAATTAGACGCTCCATAAAATTTTCATTCCGGATGATTCCGAAGTACCCGAAGTGGCGGAACAAAAACACTCAATACCTTTAATAGGCCAATTAAATTGCAATACCAAAGTTAAATAAATTATAATAACATGTCTATCCAAAATGTTAAGAACTTTAAGTACCTACTTAGGAAATATAATTACAGAGGACGCTAAGTGTACATTGAATATTAGATTTAGAAAAGCATCGCAAAACAGGTCTAAAATAATAAAAAATATATATTAACATAAAAAATAATCCGTAAAAAATTTACATTTAAAGAATATGGTTATATATATGTGAAACATAGACAATGACGCAAAATGATAAAAAGATGCTTGAGGCATTACAAATGTGGACATGAAGAAGAATGAAAAGGATAAGCAGGACACACGAGAAAAGAACATTAATAAAAACAATAGAGAATAGAAGAGACAAATGCTGGGCTACCTAGTTATATGAGATGACGATTTTTTAAAGAACATATTAGAAGAAAAAATTAAGGGCAAAAGAGAAAGACGAAGACCGAGAAATTATATGGAAGAGATGATGGAAAGAATTGGTGTCATATCGTATAGAGAGGTCAAAAATATGACCTGAAATAGTTGGAAAAGAATTTATGAATTAATTACTCCAAAAAGAGGAAACTCATGAATAAAAAAATTAGGTGTATAGAAACAATTACTTTCTTAAACTAAAATTATCTACTTAGCACATATTTTTTCATGGACAGCCGAGATCGTAGACGATGGCCGCATATATATCTACTTATAGTTAGTTACATTCCCATAATGTATAAAACTAAGCCTAAGTAGAGTCCTTAATTACAGAGATAACAATTGAGACTCCACTTAGGGTAAGTATGGATGGAAAATGAATGTACGACGAGGTGTTACCTTATGTAATAAATATCTTATGCGAGCAGCGCTTGTACTATCTAGCGCAGAATCTGATTTCAATGTTGAAATATTTTTCTAATCCTCCTTTTGGATCCTTTAAAACCGTTTCGGATGAATTCTGTAAAATGAATTCTGCACAAAAGAATTCTCTTACAGTTAATGTTCGCACGAAAGGCGACAACACGGAAAATGCCGTCGTGTAGTGCGGATTGACGCTGAAACCGATGGTAAATTCCCTTTCGCCAACAGTGATACCATGGCGATAAATCGCGTAGTATGTTTCTCAGCATACAAGATTTATAATAAGATCTGTCAGCGATGGTTTACCATCGGATTTTCTCAGCGAATAAAGCGCTCATGAGCAGTCTCTTTTTTTAATCGACTTCAAAAAGAAAGTTTCTTACCGTCACTCCAGTTCTATAATATAGATTTGGAAAGTTCTTTTTTTATTTAAAAGGATATACTTACAGTTTAGTCTCATATAAATATTATCAAAATCA